TGCGGTAGATCTATCTGTAGCTTTATGAGGAAGCTCCACACTGATTTCCATAGTGGCTGCAACAATTTGCACTCCCACCAGCAGTGGATAAGAGTCCCCCTTTCCCACATCCTCACCAGATTTGTCATTATTTATTGAATCTTAACCATTCTGACTGACTGGGGTAAGATGGATTCTCACGGCAGCTTTAATTTGCATCACCCTGATGACTAAAGACATTGAACATTAAAAAAATTATCAGCCATTCATCTTTTGAGAATTTCCCATTCAATTCTTTGCCCCGGTTTTTGATTGGGTCTTTTCGGTGTTTCTTTCTTTAGTCCTTCATATGTTCTAGATACTGACCCTCTGCCAGAGGCGTAACTGGTAAAGACTTTTCTTTTTCTGTAGGTTGTCTCTTCGCTGGAATGATGTACAAAATGATGTACAAAAATCTTTTTAGTTTCATGAGGTCCCATCTGTCAGGAACATAAAGCCTGTGCTACAGTTTTCCTGCTTGGAAAGTGCTTCCTGTGCCTATAAGTTCCAGTGCATTCCCTACTTTCTCCTCTATCATCTTCAAGGAACCAAGACTTGAATATTGAGGTCCTTGATCCATTTAGGGTTGAGTTTTGTGCATAAGAGATTGGAATCTATCTTCGTTCTTCTGCATGTAGCTGTCCAGCTGGATCAGCACCATTTGTTGAACATGCTGTCTTGTCTCCAGTGTGTATTTTTGGCCCCTTTGTTAAAAATCAGGTGATTGTAAAAGCCTGGACTTAAATCTGGGTCCTTAGTTCCATCATTGTTCAGTGTGTCTGTTTTATGTCAGTGCCGTGCGGGTTTTATTACTACGGCTCTGTAGTAAATTTGCGATCAGGGATGGAAATGCCTGCAGCAGTTCTTTCATTGTTTAGGATGGTTTTGATAGGGCCTACCAAAGTTAAATCAAAATGGCATAAATAATTCAAACAGACCCACATCTACCAATGGGATACATGCAGTAATTTAAAAAACCCAACTAAATAAAGCCCAGGCAGATGAATTCAGTGCAGAATTCTACCAAACCTTGAAAGAAGAACCAATGCCAATCTCCTCAAATTATTCAAAATATAGAAAAAGAAGGAACACTCCAAAATTCTTTCTATGAAGCCAGTATTACTTTGATTCCAAAAGCAAAGACTCAAAAAAAAAAAAGTCTAGGCAAAACTCTCTTATGAACACAGATGCAAAAATTCTCAATAAAATACTTGCAAACTAAATGCAAGAACACATAAAAAAGATTATCCACCATGATCAAATTGGCTTCATCCCAGAGATGCAGGAGTGTTTCAACATACATGCATCAATGAATGTAATTTGCCATTTAAAAAGATCCAAGGACAGAAACTGCATGATCATCTCATTAGACAGAAAAGTCCTTTGACAAAATCCAATAACTATCCATAATAAAAAGTCATAGAGAATCTAGGGACACAGGGGAGATAGCTCAACATAACAAAGGCAATATACAGCAAGCCCGCAGCCAACATTGTACTAAGTGGAAAAAAAACTTCAAAGTGTTCCCATTAAAATCTGGAACAAGACAAGAATGCCCACTCTCTCTATTCCTGTTCAATATAGTGCTTGAAGTCTTAGCTAGACCAATAAGACAAAGGAAGCAGATAAAGGGGTTATAAATTGCAAATGAAGAAGTCAAACTATCCTTACTTGTAGATGACATGGTGTCATGCATATGAAAGACTCCACCAGAAAACTCCTAGAGCTGATAAATACATTCAGCAAAAGAGCAGGATATAAAGTTAATACCCCCAAATCACTAGCCTTCCTGTATGCCAACAGCAAACATACTAAGCAAGAAATCGAGGGAAAGATCCCATTCATGATTTCCTCAAAAACCATAAAATAGGGGCTAGAGATATGGCCGAGCAGTTAAGAGCACTGGCTGCTGTTGAAGGTTCAGTTCAGTTCCTAACACCCACATGGCAACTAACAACTGTCCATAACAACTCCAGTTCCAGGAGATCTGACGCCCTCTTCTGACTTTCACAGGCATTACACACCATGGGTACACTTACACACATGCAGGGATAACACTCATACACATAAAAAATATATATATTTTAAATATCTAATAAATATCTTGGAATAAATCTAACAAAGGCAGTTAAGGACCTGTACAATGAAAACGTTAAGACACTGAAGAAAGAAATTGAAGAAGATATCAAAAATCAGAAAGACGTCATGTGCTCATGGATCGGTAGGATTAATATTGTGAAGATGACCATCCTACCAAAAGCGATCTACAAATTCAGTGCAATACCCATTAAAATGCCAACACACTTATCCACAGAAACTGAAAAAAATAATCTCAAATTTCATTCAGAAACATCAAAAGTTCAGGATAGCCAAAACTTTGGTACTGTTAAAATAGAACTTTCAGGGTATCAGGCGTAATGTTTCTTCTTAGCAATTTTAAAGATAAATATGTGACAACGAATGTATAGGGATAAGATCTAAATGTTTTGTGAACTTGCATTTAAATATTTACTGATGCTTTATTTAATCTAAACCAAGTGTTGGGTCAAAAGGAGTTCATGCTTCGAAGATCTTGGTAAATTGCTAACAAGGATTATAGCCTGGTTATACTTTTTAGACTGAGTTAAGGCTGTAATGGTTATAGTTCTTTCATGGCAATGATCTCATTTCTATTTTACATATTATTTTTGCCAGTATTTTATTCACATATTGTTAAATATTCTTAAAGTTTTATTTTTGTTATTCTTATCTTAAATTACTAGTATATTTACAAATGTATTTGCTTTGCTTGGTATCCCTCCTAATACCTCATCCCATCCTTAAGATATAAATTTCATAACATATCTCTTTTCTTTGTGCTTACTAAAAGAACATTCAATGAAAATATTTTATTTTGGTTGAAGTATGCAGAGAAAACACAGTATCAAAATCTGACAAATGACAGTATATTAAAGCTGAGGTGCCGAGTGAAATAAGAATTCTATCAATGAGATTTCTGTAGTTTGTAACTTGAAAATGCATTGGCTTGATTTGCACTTGAATTCATCTCTTACCCAGGCGTGGCAAATTGTAGGATCAATACAATGGTCACTTAGAAAATAAGGGTTCACAAATACGAAGCAAATTTCTAGTGTTGAGTCATGTTTTCCTCTCTGTGACGACACAGGGGAAAACAACTTAAAGAGCTAAGATTTCTTTGGACTTGAAGTTTCAGAGGTTTTGGTCCATGGTTGCTTGGCTCCAAGCATCACCGTGCACAGTATGTGCACAGTACATGATGGGGCAAAAGTGTTTACCTCACGGGTGCCAGGAAGCAGACAGAGAGGAAGAGTCCACAGATAAGATAAGCATGTGCCCTGTGACCCACTTCCTCCAACTAGAACCCACCTCCTACTAAAACAATCCTCTATTCTCTCACTAGTGGATTAACCCCATTTATGAGCTCAGAGCCCTCATGAACCAATCACCTCTTACCTGGGGATCAATTCTTCAGCACACAAGCCTTTCTGAGGGACCCTTGATATCTATGCCATAATAACATGTGTGTTAGCCAGACTCCCCTCAATGTGACAGATCACTTGTGTTCACAGTTTCAGAGGTCTCTATCCATGGTTGCTTAGCCCTGTTAATTTGGGCCTGTGGTGCAGCAGAAAATCATGGTGAGAAGTGTGTGGTGAAGCAAAGATGTCCATTTCATGGCAGCCATAAAATAAAGGGAAGAGAAAGAGTCTGGGGGGTCCCAAAACCCCCGTCAAGAGCACATATCCACTGATAGAATTTTCTCCAAATAGGGTCCATCTCCTAAACTTTCCACCACCTCTCAAGAATGCCACAATCTGAGAATTAAGTCTTTAACATATATGTGAACCACAATAATGTCATTCTATAATATTTTATATTTGCAAGTGTCACCACCAATCTCATGAGAAAAGTCTGTTCAGATGCTGTTGTGACAGATACATACATTCTGAAATTCCAGTTTGCACTTGCATAGTCTAAATTTATGATTGACAACACATATCACCACCTTGTGTCCCATGAAATGACAATCTCAGTTTCTTCAGTTTTAATAAAACATCTGCCAAATACCCAGGTCTGGATTATACTGGTTTGCATATCAAACATTTTTTTATGTTAAAAAAGTGATAGTTCAGTGTTTAAAGCTAATACTCTGAGGATTTAATGGTATTTCCTGAGTTGGGAACAATCATGATGGGTCTAAGAACCTGAACAGAGTTCGTTACGGTCTGGATGGAGTGACTGGATGGAGAGGTTGGAGAAATACAAAGAGATGGACTCCAGAGCCTTAGGGACAGAGGAAGTTCTGGTTTCTTTGAGGTGGGAAGGAAATCATGGGAGCATTTTTAGCCAGGATGAGTGACTAAATCATAATTGCAATTTTATTTTTTCTTTCTCTGTGTGTGTGTGTGTGTGTGTGTGCGCGCGTGCACATGCATACATATTTACACGTGCACATTTCTATATGTGAACACAGGCCCACGTAGAGGTCAGAGGACCAGCTTGGGTGTCTGCCCTCACTTTCCTCCTTGTTTGAAACAGTGTCTCTTGTGTTTTCCACTGAGTTCACCAGGCCAAATGGCCTGCAAGCTTCTAGGGGCCCTCCTGTCCCTGCCTCCCATTTCCCAGTAGTAATTGCTGGGATTGCAATTCTCACACAAGAGCCTGGCTTTTACTTGGATTCTGGAGATTTGAACTCAGGACCTCATTAAATGCAATCCAAATATTTTTTACCCACTAAGCAAGCCATCCTCCTATCCCCAAAATTACATTTTTGAAAGATTGAAAGATTGGGTGACCTATGGAGAGAGAGTTAACAGGGTAAACACTGAACCAAACTGAATAATTTGGGGGTTACCAGAGAGATAATGGCCTGTAAACCATCACAGACAGGGGTTCGGTTGTGTGCTGGAGGGAGAGGGGCTGAGACAGCAATTGTACGTAACTGTGATTTCTCTTCCCAGACCATATGGGCACCATGCAATCCTGTCCTCAGAGATGCCAGCCTCCAGTCTGCCATGGTTCCCATGAATATGCACTGCCCTATGAAAACACAGTCCAGGGAAAACCGGCCTCCGGAAGGCCTGACAGGAAGGTAAGAAGGACGCTTCCCTGTTCCATCCAGGCTCACCGAGCAGGCGCAAAGCAGATTGTTGGCGTTACTGTTAAATTTGCCTCCAATGAAAAATTTCTGAGTTTTAATATTTCCAAAATGTTTTATTATATCAACCACTATGATTCTTTTACCAGATTCTTCAACTTGTATATTTTAAGATTCTAAAAGGTGTTTTATTCATTAATCATAAAAAAAGAATATTTAGACTTGTGTTTGTTGAATGGTCTCATGGAGGATTAACTGGAGCTGGCCTATTACAGTTCAGTCTTCAACAGAGGATTCACATGCCACACAGTCACATCAGTTGAGCCTCCACCCAGGGCTCATCTCTCCATTGCCCGTCCTTCTCCCTGTAAGAGTGACCTTTACAATCAAAACCATCATTTATCGTCCGTTCAGACAAAGTAGTATGGCACAGGAGAAAACCAACCAAGCCTGAGTTAAAATCTCAGATTCACCACAAGACTCCAGGCATAAAGAGCCTCTGGGGCTGCTCCAGCCCTCACCTTTACAGGGCCAGTGCAGCACTGACATCACAATCTGCACAGACACATCTTCAATAAGCCTCAGCAGATGCAGATTCAGAAGTCACTGGTATCCAAGTGTGGTGGTCAACCCTTGTCATCCTAGCACTCAGGAGGTAGAGACAGGAAGATCAGGAGTTCAAGATCATCCTCAGCTGCATAGTGAGTTTGAGGCCAGCCTGGGATATGTGAAACCGTGCCTTAAAACATAAATTCAAATCATTGATAGATGGAGGGCTTACTATCCCTCCCAAGGGTCGGACAGCAGACCTTTCCTAGCTGATGGTACAGTTCCTGGTCCTCCCTAATAACAGCATGGTTGCCTCATTCCTATTGACCTCAGAATCCCCAGCTGCAGTGTTAATTTTCTGCATCCATCATCAGTGGACCTTTCCAGGCCCTAGAACAAATGCTCTGTGCTGAACATCTACCAAGCAGCCTGTGTCCGGGTACTGGTAGAACAAAAGTAAAATTTGAATTAATTATTCCATATTGATACCTCCCTTTGATCCTAAAATATTCATTGCACTTACACTGTAGGATATCCAGAAGAATGAATGGTACGTTGGAGAAAGCAGCCGCCAGGCAGTAGAGGAGGCGCTAATGAGACAGGACAAGGTAACGCCTCTACATTGTGCCTGTAACCAGCTTCTGGTTTTCTGCCTTAAACCACAAGCAGCATCCTCTGATGGGGTGGTTCCCACATAAGCCTAAATTTCTCAGTGCTGAAGTTGTAACTGAAAAGGCAATTAAATGCAGTGGTTCACAACACACACACACACACACACGCACACACACAAAGAGACATACACACAAGAGACACAGAGAGATACACACAGACACACACAGAGACACACACAAAGAGACATACACACAAGAGACACAGAGAGATACACACAGACACACACACACACAGACACACATTCACACACAGAGACCTACACACACCTGAACACAGAGACACACAGACACACACACAAACACACAGAGAGACACACACACACATAAACACAGAGAGACACACACAGACGCACACATAAACACACAGCGAGACAGACACAGACACACACAAACACACATAAACAGAGACACACACACAGACACACAGAGAGACACACACATAAACACACAGAGACACACACACAAACACACAGACACACACAGATACACACACACAGACACACATACACAACTTGAAAGCAGCAGGCAACTTGGGAAGGAGGGATTCAACTAGGGGGTAATACAGCAATGGAGCACTTTAATTTTATTAAAAAAAAATATTTTTATCGATTCCTTGAGAATTTTCTGTAATATATTTCAAATACATTCAGACCCCCCTCCCCCATCTCCACTCTGCTTACTAACCCTCCCTGAGGTCATGTCCTATAGCTTTTTTTTTTTCTTTTTGAGACAGGGTCTCCCTGTAGCTCCAGCTGTCCTGGAACTCACTATGTAGACCAGGCTGGTCTTGAACTCAAGAGATCCGCCTGCCTCTGCCTCCCAAGTGCTGGGATTGAAGGCGTGCGCCACCATGCCCAGCATTTATCTCTTTTTTTAAAGGCCTATGAAGTCTAATCTGTGTTCCTCAAATATTCTTGGTATTTGCCTATCTCTTGGAGTTTGGTCAACCAACCAGGCACCAAATCACTAAAGAAACCTCTCTCCCAGAAGCTGTCAACTGCCAGAAGATCCTGAGTTAGGCCTGGGACTTCTTGCCCAACTCCCACATCAATTCTGGGTTTTTATCAGGCCTGGGCTTATACAGGGTTTGTGCATGCTGTCACAAGTGCTGTGGGATCACATGTGCAACTACCCTGTGGTGTCCAGATGACACGGTTTCCTGTTATTCATCCGTGACCTCTGGTTCCTGGCTCTTTCTGCTCCTCTTCCGTAACGGTTCCCTGAGCCTTGAGAGGAGAGTGTGTGAGACAGACAGATGGCCCATTTGGGGCTGAGCACATCACAGCCTCTTATTCTCTGCAAGTTGACCAGTTATTAGGTCTCTGTATTAATCACCATCTGCTGCAAGAAGTTTCTCTGGTGAGAGCTGAGAAATTCACCAACCTATGGTTGTAACAATGTCATTAAGGATCAGTTTAATACTACGTCTGTTTAGCAGAATAATGGTAGTGGTTCTCCTTTATGGCCTGTGACCAACTCTGATAGCTATCAGGTATGGACTTCATCTTGTGAAGCAGGCCTTAAATCTAATCAGAAGGCAGTTGCTGTACCAGTAACAATTGCCAGGCCCATGTTATTACTTTTCTTACAGCATGCACAGTATCTTCTAATACCATGAAGGGCAGCCAGTTGGGATGAAGTGTTGAGATCAGCATCAACTTGCTCTCTCCTTGTTTGTTCTCTGATTCACATATGTAGTTTCTTCAGCAATAGGATCTTACTGTAAAGCTCTGGTGGATAACCAGGAGCAGGGACAAAGGCGAGTATTGTTTGAGGTTCTGTGAGATCTCTCTGGTCAACAACTCCAAAAGAGGTAGCCCACTTCTGGCATCAAGCTACTGTCTCTAATAGGAGCACTGTTTTAAAAAGAAAAGGGATTTAAAATAGAATCGCGGACCTGGGACTGTGCCACTTATCACCTATGTGACTTCCCCAAGTTCCCAAATAAGTTTACCTGAAGGTTTATTTATTCATTAAATGAAAAACAATATATTTTCAAAAAGCTAGGCATGGTGGAGCACACCTTTCATCCCAGCACTCTGGAGGCAGGGGCAGATGAATCTCTGTGAGATCAAAGCCAACCTAGTCTAAGAATTCCAGGACAGCTGGGATTACAGAGCGATGCCGTAGATGCCGTTTCAAAAAAAGAAAGAAAAAGAAAACAAAAATAGCAAACAAAACTCAGTGCTAAAGAAGTCTCTTGAAAATCATGTGTGGAATCTGGAACACAGAGGTCATGAGGTCACAAGGTCATGAGGTCATGACAGGTAGCGCTTTCATCACCTCACTAAGGTGTGCCTATGGCACAGTTGGGTCTTTATGTCTCACTTCTTCAGGAAAGGAGCAGGGGTCATGAATGATGCAATAGTCAGTACATGACAGGCTATGCTGCAGTAACAAGCAGCCCAAAATCTCAGTCATTTATCATAACAGGATATTTCTTGCTTTCACACCATGTTCAAGATAGATGCATTTGAATCAATCCAGGCTGTGGGAGACTCTGTCTCTATGGTATGCCTCCACTTTCATACTCTGGCTCTCACACATCTCCCAGAAGTAACACATTTCACCCATCATTGACCAAATTTACAGGAACAATCCTAACTTCAAAGAGGGCAGGGAAGTCCAAACCTACCATGTAACCAAAATGAGAGAAAAAATATAACATTCATAATCAGGTCAAATGACTGTCACAGCCTTCATCACCAAGCAAATAAGCCCTAGGTGACTATGAGGCACAGAACTATCCTAGGTTGCTTTAAAATGCTAGAGAGTTTCCCAATGCTAGTGAGACATCAAAACCTGTGTTCATCTAGGTCACTGCTGATCGTGGAAACAGAAATGAGTGTGTTGGCTAATTGGTAAATAAATTATGTGATCTCCAATGTATTTCACTAAAACTCAGAACTGGTGTAAAAATAAATTAGACATACGCTGCTATGATATAGAATCATGATCACACACACATGTGCACACACACACACACACCACACTCACCACATACACCACACACACCACACATATACCACACACACATACACCGCACACACCACACACACACCACACATACACCACACACACACCACACACACATACACCACACACACAAACACCACATACACAAACACCACACACACATATACACACACACCACACACACACATACACACCACACACACACCACACATACAACACACACACACACCACACACACCACACACACACCACAACATACACACACACACACACACACGCACATACATCCATGTCCTGATCCCTAGAGCTTAAGAATATATTTCTTCATACAAAAAAAGGAACCTAGCAGCTGTGATTAAGTTGGAGAGCTTGAGATGGAGAGGTTATCCTGGGCTATCTGAGTGGCCCAACGTGATACCTTATCTTATAAGGGATCCATTATCTTATGGGAAGCTGGAGTGTCAGAGAAAAGATGCCACTATTGAAGTGGTCAGACCACTGGAGGCATCATGAGTCAGAAATCTGTGGCTTCTAGAGACTGGCAGAGTCTCGAACATAGATTTCCCCCAACTGGCTTTAGCCCAAGTGAGATCCACATTGACTTCTGAGCTCCAGAACTGTAACAGAGTAACTTGGGTTTTAAGTCACTAATTTCATATTAATTTGTTACTCTAGCAGTGGACTAAGCAGGTTGCCAACAAAGTAGCCTATCTCTATTGTGAATAAGTGGATTATCCCATTCCGTAGATGAGAAGACAGATCAAGCCTTGGTCACAACATGGAAACGGGGAGATCCTGTATTCATGATCAGTACCCATTTCACCAAGACTCAGCTGCCTCCAACACCACTGCAGCTCTCTACAGCAGGATGAAAGCTGTGGTGGTTGGCTGGTGTCCTGTCTCCAGGACCTCCCTTTCCTCCATCAGGAACTCAGATGGAGTTGGCCTCTTCTGTGGTAGGATGGCAGGTGCAGTGGTGGTAGGCTCCAGGCTCCTCCTCTTGGCTGATCAGTGACTAGTGTACTATGGAATTCACATAGTTGGTTTTCCAACAGAAGACAACCTTAGAGGACCCAGAAGCAGGAGTGCATGTGTGCACTGTGCTGGGGGAGCAGCACACAGGTCACATGATGGCCTGTGGCAAGGCTTGGTGCTCCTCACATGATCCCTTTGCTCCCTTGTGCCTGGTTCCACTCCTTCCCAAGAAGAATGCCATCTAGGCTGAATTATTATTTTCCTTTTTATAGTTTGTCTCAGATTTGTCAGAATGTGTTTCCCATTTATAAAAGATAATTTAATCTAAATACAGGATTGCCCAGATTTATTTTGGCAAATTCACTGCAGAGTTTATGATGATTAAACCTTGAATTTGTCCATGAGTCCTTCCCCACTCCATTCCTGATCTTTGCCAATGCTCCATGCTGGAGTAGTAAGGCTTTGGTTCTGAATGACACTTTAGACCGAACAAGTTACAGATGACTCCGCAGCCACTTGATGAAGCAGAATTTGCTGTGTTAAAGAGAGTCTGGGTTTCAATTTTAGTTATCCCATTTGCTAACTGTGACACTCTGGGACCAGGTGTGTCCAATCTCCGACTGCATGTGGCCAAGGAGAGCTATGCAGGCCAACCTAAAATCATAAATCATAAAGTTTACCTAAATCAAAATCATAAATTTACTTAAAACATTATTTTACATGATTTTTATGAATTTTTTTAACTTTTAAAAAAGATTTATATTACTTGTGGTCGTGTCTGTGTGTATGTGTATGTGTGTGTGTGTGTGTGTGTGTGTGTGTGTGTGTGTGTGTGTGTATGCAGTGCCTGCTGAGGCCAGAAGGAGACACTGAATTCCTTAGAGCTAGAGTTGCACGTGTTTGTGAGCCGCTCAGTGTGGGTGCTGGGAACAGAACTCTGGTCTTCGTGGTAGAGCAACGAGACCTCCTAACCACTGAGTCATCTCTCCAGCCTATTTTTGCAGTTTGATCACTTATTTCTCAAGCATGAACTTCAGAGATGACAACACCCTATTGTCAATGTCAAAAAGTTGGGCACACCCGCTAGGCCCTACGGGGTTCACTTAGGCTCTGAGGCCTTAATTTCTTTGCCTGTAAATAGAGGTAAAATTCTTCCCCCAAGGTTTCTATAAAGAGCAAGTGATATGTCTAAGATGCTTGTCACCTTAAGAGGCTCTCGACAGACTTCATTACCCACACTGGCATAGCATCCACACAGGGTGGTAATGCTAGTCTTCAGTGTAGCATGTTTATCAAACAATTGTACAGCATGATACAATATCACTATATATCAATATCATATCCAGATTATAAATTGCATAATTGCATAATAATGATAAATATAAGCCATCATATATACGGCCTATATCTGGGCTACCTATGCTTTATGGGTCATTTACAACCATCTACATACTTTTCCATACGTTTATAGTTGCAGGTTTTCAATATCTTCCATCACGTGGACTATACAGCATGACCCGGAGGCCCAGACTTGCAATGTGTTCAGTAGGATTCTGCCTTCCAACCTTACACCTTCATCTTGAGCTATTCCTCGGGGTGTGTGTGGTTATGTCTGACCCATGTCCTACTCTGAGTCCTTGGACTCTTCTGTCCTGTTGACCTTCTGGAAGCTTTTCCACCTTTTGGCCTCTGTAACACTGAAGTTCCTTGTGTCTTTCTTATCTCTTTGCCCTGCCTTTGCCTTGACCTCACTCCAGGCTGTATTTCCTGCTCCCCATCTCAACACACTTCCTTGACAGTCTCCACAAAGCACCATCCCTCTTTTGGGAACCCCAGTTCTGTAGTAAAATCTCCCCACACATTTGCTCACAGACTGAGGTGGTCCTAGAATAAGATCTCATCTTCAGGACAAACAGGAGACAGGTAAACAGAGACAGGGCAGAAGAGTGCACCAGAGAGAACAGAAGTCGGGGTTCCCTGTGCAGAAGGGGGAACAATGTGTAAAGAACAGGAGACACAGATCAGGACACCTTCAGAACCATGTAGCTACAGCCAGGAGCCAGGGACAAGAGACCAACCACAGAACTGGTGAGGGAGCCTACCTTGAAAGTCTTGATAAGGTTGTAAGTATCATGCTGAGGCCAGTGGAGGGTGAACGATTTCGAAGAAGGAAGTGCTATTATCTACCTGGTATACTTCTCAGAAAACAGCTAAGAACCTTGTCCATACCGACACTGCATCAACTGTTGCTGTGGCAACATCCTTCAAGAAAGAAGGTTTTATTCTGGCTTGTGGTTTTAGTCAATGGGAGGCTGGTTCCATCACTTTTAGGTCTCTTAACTTCAAAGCTATCTCTTGCAGAGGACCCAGGTTTGGTTTCCAGCACCTGCATGACAGCTATCAATTGTCTGTAACTCCAGTTCCAGGAGATCCAACATCCTCTTCTGACCTCTTTAGGTACTGCAGGACATCAGCGCACTTACATATACAAGCAGAGGCATCGTATATGAAGGACTGCTCACCTCATGGTAGTCAGGAAATAAAGAGAAAATAGGGACCAAGGCCAAGGTTTACTCATCAAAGGCACATGCCCCAGTGACCTACTTCCTGTAACACACCCCACCTCCTAATAGCCCACTCAGCTTTGAACTCAACAGTGGGTCAACTTCATGACACTGTACCCTTACAATCCAATCTCCTGTCTACATCCACACAAACCATAGCACTTAACAGAAGCTTTATGAATGAAATTGAATGTGCAACTGGGTTGACAAAAACTGTCACCTGTGGGCAGGGTCCTTGCATGCCTGAAAAGATAACCCTCACTCATTCCTTCAGGATGGTACTTTTGTGGTCCGAGATTGTTCCACAAAGTCCGCAGCAGAACCCTATGTCTTGGTGGTGTTTTGGGGGAACAAAGTCTACAATGTGAAAATCCGCTTCCTGGAGAGGAATCAGCAGTTTGCCCTGGGGACAGGACTCAGAGGAAATGAGGTGGGTGTAAAATAACTGCTTCCTTTTTCTTGGCTAGACATGACCAAGGAAGGTAGAGTTTGGGAGATGCTGGGGCCATGTCCCCATACCCCAGAGACCACAGGATAAGAGAAAAGGGCACTGCCTTGGAGGACGGTGTAGTGGACCCCCTCCAGACCCTTCCGTGCAGGACGGTGTAGTGGACCCCCTCCAGACCCTTCCGTGCAGGACGGTGTAGTGGACCCCCTCCAGACCCTTCCATGAACATCCCTGCACATGTCACATTGTATTCAACTCATCAGCCCAGCAGCCACCTTGAAACTGCATGTTCCCATCCTCCTAAACCTGTTCTATGAAAAGTATCTACATTCTGCCTTACAGAGAGAGGGCATCTCAGAGCCTATGCTGACACCCCATCCTTTCATCTCCCCATGCTGAACTCCTGCTACAGGCATTTCCAAAGTCTGGTATCATTCACCATCCACAGGACTGGGTCCCCCAAATTAGAGTTGGGGGCAGTGGGGGTCTTCTGGTGAATCTGTTAGTTGCTGGGCCTGGTACCACAGTCATATAATCCAAGCTACTTAAGAAGCAGAGGCAGGAAGATCACAAGTTCAAAGCCAGTCTCAGCAACTTAGTGTGACCCTGTCACAAAATTAAAAGTAGGGGCTAGAGAGTTAGATAGTTCAGCAGTTAAGAGCACTGGCTGCTCTTGCAGAGGACTTGGGTTTGGTTTCCAGCACCCACATGGCAGCTAACAACTGTCTCTAACTCCAGTTCCAGAGTATCCAACACCCTCTTCTGACCTCTCTCAGCATTGCAGGACACAGGCACACTTACACACATGCAGTCAATACACTCATACACATAAAGTTAAAAAAAAAAAAGCTAAAAATAAAAATAAATAATAAAATCAGGGCAGAATATGTGGCTTAGTAGTAGAGTCTTGTTGAGTGTGTGAAGGTCTGAGTTCAGCCTCCAGGACCACAAAAACAAAATTCAAAGCATGAAGTAATAACTATATAAATAAATTGACCAAAAGGAGACATTTCTCCTGAATAACTATTCCTAGTCCCTGTGCATTATCGTATTTTAATCCTCGATCACTTTCTGATGTATTGATCATCCCTATCCTAGATTGAGGGAAACTGTGGCTCAGGAAATTAAGTAAACACACACACACACACACACACACACATACACACACACACACACAGAACTGGTTAGCAGCTAGCTCATCGGCACTCTTGGGCTGTGTTCTATCTGTGCCTCATCTCTCCCTGGAAGGGGAGAGATATGTCAGCATCCCTTAGGAGCCCCTGGTGCTGTGTGTGCTGAGGAGACTCAGATGTTGGCCTCAGCTGCTAGGCCAATCTCAGCAGATGGGTCCATGGAAGCCTTTATCTTAAGACAATGGGAAGGATCTCAGAGTCAATGCCTGTCCCCCTGGGCTTGGCAGCAAGGAAGAAGACACTTAATAGAAATCTTGCTATCTGAAGAGTGGACCAAAAGATGACCAAGAAGCTGACGCTGGGTGCCAGAAAGTGCTGTGACAGTCCAGATCTCAGTCCAGAAATGTAAGGAGCAGCAGGATAATCGAACTCTGAAGACCAGATGCCCAGATGAAGATGTCTTGTGAGAAAAAATAAAGAGGTTATCAATGAGGACCAGTTGATAAGGTGTTTGCCTAGCATAACTGGAGCTCTGGCCTCCATCCTCAGCACTGCATAAAACAGCTCCATGAGTGCTCACAGCAAACCTCAGAGGCAGGTACTATTCACAGATGGAGGAACCAAGAGCAACGAGTTGGCCTCAGGTCGCACAGCAAGTGGGAGCCAGGACAGCCACACTGAGCTCAGGCATGTCCACCCCACAGGCCTTCATTTCTAATGACCCCACTATAGAAAACCTTAATGAACCCACATGAGACACTCAGGGTGGGAAGGCAGAGAGGGCAGAGAGAGTGGTGACCAAGGTGGTCTGACTCCAGGGACACTCTGAGCTTGTGTTCAGCCTCCACACACACATTTACTCTCTCTTCACTTCCTCATGCTGGTCACTCATCCCTCGGGTTTGTTTTCTACATCCTTAAAGAATCAGCCAGGCATGGTGGCTCACACCTGTAATCCTAGCTCTCAGGAGGCTGAGGCAGGAGGATTGCTGTAAGTTCAAGGCCACATGGGTACAGACTGAGTTCCAGGCCAGCCTGGGCTATAGCATGAGACCCTATTTCAGAAACAACAAAATCAGTTTCTTTTTGTTTTATATTTTTTATGTGTATAAGTGTATTGCCTTCATGTTTGTAAGTGTACCCATGTCATGCAATGTCTGTGGAGGTCAGGAGAGGGCATCGGATTCCCCTGCAATTGGAGTTATGAATGGTTGTTAGCTGCCTTGTGGGTGCTGTGATTTGAACCTGGGTCTACTGCAAGAACAGTGTTAGCCACCATGTTGGTTCTGGGATTCAAACCTGAGTCTTCTGCAAGAATGTTAGTGCTCTTAACCACTGAGCCATCTCTCTGGCCCCCAAAATCACTTTCTAATCTGTCTTTACAATATCATCACTGTGGAATGTGTTTACTTCCTCACTAAGATACAACTTAGCAGTACTTTATAGAGACTGGCTGTGTTGAGTCATTAACTTTCTTTTCTGTATTTCAGAAGTTCGATTCCATTGAAGATATCATTAATCACTACAAGTCTTTTCCTATTATACTAATTGATGGGAAAGACAAAGCTGGGGTACACCGGCAACGGTGCTACCTTACCCAGTCACTGCCTTTCACTGGGCACCTCCCACCTCCGTAGCCCAGCCAGCCACTTCCGATGCAGAAGCCCAGGCCCTGTCACGTCCTCAGCTCCTTGGTTCAGCGCTTCCAAAATCTACATTTATCTCAAAGGATCATTTTCTGTGTCTTCAAGAGATGGCTTTTGGACTCTCTAAGAAAAATATTCTTTAATGGAAATTGAGAGGTCAATTATGATTTTGAAAGCTTAAACCATAGAAGAAAAAATTTTATCACTTGCAGAAAAAAAAAGACCTAGGCTTTAAAACATATTTTCTTAAACAAAAACTGTAGACATGGTTGTTACAGGAGCTGATGTGTCCAGAACTGACGGCTTAAATGTTTGCAGCTAGTGTGAGGGGATTCCCAAACCACTGCTCTCAGCAGGACTTGGGGCTGGCTTTATTTGGAAACGGCTTGGTGTAGGACTCTGATGAGATTCAGGTGGTCCCATATGCTGAGGATGCTGGTGGATGCTAACTCTATTTATTTATAGTTCTAGAAATTCAATTATAGGGGAGGAATGTGGGATGAGGAACAATGTGAATATCATATAGACTCCGATGGAAAGCAGTCGCAGGCCCAGACTTCAGCGCATTCTGTGGACGGTGACGTCAGTGGAAACCTGAAGGCAACCATTCACCTGAGTGTTGATAAAATATTTTGAACGATTTTGACGATAAATTTCTATCCAAGGACAGAGAAGAGCTGTCCCCTAAAAAAGTGCTGATACTTGGGCAGCACAGCGTATGGTGGTATTTTGTCTTCTCTGGGTGAAGGGGATTTAAGTGCATTCCTGCTTCACAATGCAGACCAGGGAGTGGATGTTCAAGAAGTGACTGATGCAGTCCATGCACGAGCAAGCCCAGGCTGTGAGCCATTTTGCCTTCTCCATGTCACTGCATCATCTTGGCATACTGTCTATCCTGTGGAACTTTGCTATTGAGTTGAAAAGCTGGCGGGGGGGTGGAGAATATACATATTTACCATCTTAAGTGGTATAGTAAGCTAAGAAAAATCAAGGAGCCACTGAAATGAACAGATAGGCCATGACTTCAAATATTACCACATACTACATGTAAAATGCATGGTATATTTAAACTGGAGTTTTAATGAAGAAATAAAACCAAACAGAGAGCTGGGGATGTAGCTCATTTGGTAGAGTGCTTACCTCTGGGTTCAGTCTCCAGCACTGTATAGAATTCAGTGTGGTTGTACACATGTATGAACTCAGCATGTGGGAGGTAAAGATAGGAGGGGCAGAAGTTCAAGGTCATCCTTGGCTATATAGCAAGTCCAAGGCCAATGTGGGTTATATGAGACCCTGTCTCAACAAAAAAAATAGAATGAAAAGTCCATAGAATCAAATGAAAACAAGCAACAGCCAGCCTTGTCTTCCTAGTAATCCAGGAAGGGCTCTTGGCGTCTGCCCACAAACACCTGCCTCGTGTGCTCCTTCACAAGACCAAGGGGAAATGAATCCAGTTAGACTAGGAGAACTGAAGGCAAAGTTCTTCCTAAAGCTGGACAAAGTGAGACTGAGCAGAGGTGACAGAGGGACCCCTCACACAGCCCCTGTGAGAGGAGGGAAACACAGGAGCCTCAGGCACTGTTCTGGAAAGTCTTGGCTGAGATCCACAGCAGACCTTGCCCATAGACAAGAGCATCATGCTGAGCAGAACAGGCCAGGTCCTGGTGCCCTTCTGTGAGAACTCATTGACTAGAGCTGCCCTGGAAGAAAACCTGAGTTTCAAGTGCTGTGGTGGACACAGAAGGTACTTGCAAGGGACTTTGTCCACTGACTTGCTGGTCAGCAAGTTATTTTAAGGGAAACAAGTGTCCCACCATTGCCTACCACAGCAGCAAGTTCAGGTTTCAGTGTCTGGTATGCACGGACATGTTGCTTGTAATACATGTGCCGCTGGTGACTTCATTGTCACCTTGACACACCTGGGAAGAGGGAGCCAGTATTGAAGACATTTCTCTATTGGACTGGCCAGTGAGTATGTTGGTTAGGCATTTTATTTTATTTTATTTTTATGTATATGAGTATATTGCCCGCATGTATGTAAGTGCACCCATATCATGCAATACCCACAGAGTACACATGAGGGTGTTGGATCCCCCAGAACTGGGGTTAGGAATAGTTTTTAGTTGCCATTGGGTGCTAGGAATAGATCTCAGGTCCTCTACAAAAGTACCCAGTGCTCTTAACCCCTGAGCCATCTCTCCATTCCTGTGAGGTGTTTTCTTGATTGTTGAATAATGGGGCGGGGGCAGTCTACTGTGGGTGGTACCATCCCTGGGCAGGTGGTCCTGCATTGTATAAGAAAGCAAGCTGAGGACAGGCCAGGGGAGCAATCCAGTAAGCAGCGTTTCTCCATGGTCTGTGCCTCAGCTCCTGCCTCCAGGCTCCTCCCTTGAGTTCCTGCCTTGGCTTCCCTCAAAGATGGTCTGAGATCAGGACATGTTAGCCAAATAAACCATTTCCTCCCCCAGTTGGTTCTGGTCAGAGTGTTTTATTACATCAATAAAAAGAAAACTGGGATAAGATGATTAAATAATAGAATATAAATTTTTTAAAGATTTTTTATTATTTTATGGGTCTTTTGACTGCATATCTGTAAGTATACCTGTGCATGCAATGCCTGCTGAGGCCAGGAGAAGGCGTCATATCCAGTGGATCTGGAGTTACAGGCAGTTGTTAGCTGTCATGTGGAAGCAGTCAGTGCTCTTGACCACTGAGTCATCTCTCCAGCCCCAGGATATAAAGTTTTAAATGCATTTCACTATAACGATAGTTCTATTTAAAGAAGAATGTGGTAGATATTTTAACATATTTTATAATTAAGAAAACTGCCTCATTTGCTAAAATCATACAGTGATATATGTGTGCCTAAAACTAAGGTTCTGAAGCCCAGCTCTTCTGTTTATCTGCTTTACTGAATGCATTATTTAAAAATCAATGCTATGGGAGGGACAGGCTCTTATAATGAAGTGCCTTGATCTTTCCCACTATTATCTCATTTTCTGTTTTTAAAATGTCACTTGAAGCCTCGTCTCAATTAGACAGTGAAGTTTCAGCTTCATCTGATTACGACGACATCTCCACATTCCAGGTGTTTCTCCTGGACTACATTCCCTCCTGAACCTGCATCTCCTCCGGCTTTGGCACAGTACTGTCACGGTGCTTGTTCCATTCTGTGTGTGGGGCCATTGGCAGGTGCCGCTGTAGATGTCAGAAATACTGGACTGCACACTGAGAGTCAGACAACTAGGTGACCCAAACCACTTTCCACTACTCTCTAGCACTATGTTTTAATATATTGCTGAGTACTTGTGGGGTAAGACGAATGTTTTGGCTTTTTGTATTTTTGAGATAGAGTCTCCCTGTAGCCCCAGCTGGCCTGGAACTCACTATGCAGACCAGGCTGACCTGGAACTCACAGAGATCCACCTGCCTCTGCCTCCTGAGTGTTGGGATTAAAGGTGTGTGCCACCACGCCTGGTCTGACTAATGCTAAATATTTTAAGAAAATTCCCTAAAGATGGCTCTGAACAGTCCTGAAGCCAGGATTTTTTTAATTTTCCCCAACTTATTTTGTAGAAAATTTTTCTTCCAAGTAAGAGAGGGGAGAGAGAGAGACACATACACACAGAGGAAGAGAGAGACACACAGAAAATAAGTAACTACATTCTATCTAGAAATCACTGCAACCCATCCTAATTATTACATCCTGTAACATCACGCTTACCTCATTGTCAGATATATTCATTATCATGTATGTAACATACATTTTTCAAGACAGCCTATACTATATCTGATTGGCATTATGCTTGTACATCTATTGTTTTATATTTAATATAAAATATTTAATATGTGCTCCAGCTAAGCACATTTGGGGTGTTTGTTTGTTTGTTCGTTTGTTTGTTTGCGGGGATTTTTTTTTTTTTTTTGGTTTTTTTGAGACAGGGTCTCCCTGTAGCCCCAGCTGGCCTGGAACTCACTTTGTAGACCAGGCTGGCCTTGAATTCACAGAAATCCGCCTGACTCTGCCTCCCGAGTGCTGGGATTAAAGGCATGCACCACCACGCCCAGCAGCACATTTGTTTTTAATATTTATGATTTTTAGTTTGATAACTTAAATGAAAATAAATATGCAATTAAATGTTGTAACATTCTCCGTAACTGAGTACTGAAGAATGAAATTCAAAGCAGTTTAATTTTCTTTGTTTCATGTGCTATTGCCTTTAAAGCACTTTCAAAATCATACCTAGGACAAAGTTAAGAAATAGCTCTATAACAATTATTGACATACGAACACTATGCTATATTTTGGGGATAATGATGAAAAAGACATGATCCCTGTGATTGACAGCTCAGAGTCAGGCAAGCAAGGCTTGCACATGATAGCCCACTTCCCGGGTGTAAGGTGACATCTCCTTGTGACTTTGATTTGCATCCACTGATACTTAGTGACACTGATTACTTTCATACACTTGCTGTCCATTATCAAAAAAGAAAAAATGAGCTAGGAAGGGACTGGGTCAGCTGGGAACCTGACCTTCTGACAGGAATAGCAGATGGTGAAGTTTCTATAGACACGATAGAGTTTTCTCAAAAAGTCAAAAAAGAACTATCAAAAGATTCAGCAATCCCACTCCTGGGTACCGATCGGAAAGAACCGGACTCGGGATCTTGAAGGGCTACCTGTATCCCTGTTTACTGCTGCAATATTCAGAACAGCCAAGACGTAGAACCAGCCTAAACGCTCATCATTAGGTGAAGAAAACATGCTGTAAGGCAGCGTTGTGTGTACACAGAAGTACTATACTATCTTAACGAAGGGAACTCTGCCATAGGTGACAATGTGGGATGAATTTGGCAGGCGTTATGCTGATATGTGGGATCTAATAGTTGAACTCAGGAATGGAGGATAGGCCAGTGGTTTCCAGAGGCTTGGAGGGGGAAATGATAGGTTGTTAAATGTGCATAAAGTTCCAGTTACACTAGATGACTAA